CGCAATCCCTTCTCCTCCATTCTCCTCTCGGGATCTTGGGCACACACACACGCGCCCAGCATGAGTTTAAGCCACCGGGTCTGGGACACGAACTGCAGTCGACTATGTGGGAGTCCAGAGACATAGCCATTATGCTAACTGCTGGTTCCCGACCTTTTTTTTTTTTAAGATTGATTTTATTTAACTTTATTTACTCGTTTTAATTGTATCAGAGAGGGACAGAGTGAGAGAGAGACAGAGAGGGAAAGTGAGAAAGTAAGCTGCCGGGTCTGGGACTCAAACTGCGGTCAGCCATGTGGGAGTCCAACGCCCTGAACCACCATGCCGCCTGCCGGCCCCAGCCCTCCTTTAAAAAAAAAAATTATTTTATTCAACTTTATTTATTATTATTATTTCATTTGACTAGAGAAAGATAGACGGGGCGGGGGGGCTGGCAAGTGGCATGGTGGTTAAAGGCGCTGGACTCCCACATGGCCAACTATGGTTCAAGTCTCGGACCTGGTGACTTGCCATTCTGAAGAAATTTTTCTGTGGGAGTCTGCTGCATATGGGACTAAAATAAAAATTTAAAAGAGACATCTAAAAGAACAGAAAAATAATAGAAGACTATGTATATATTGGTCCACAACTTGACATATATGAAACATCCCAGCTAGTATTACATTGCAGTCAATTTATCCATTAATGGTATTACTCTGATAATTATTAAAATCTGTTCCAGGTATAGATATTGAAAATATTTTCTTTTGCATTCTTGCTGAAGATAGGTACAGTACTTTGGAGAAATTGTACTAATCCCTTCCGTATGTCTGTATGTACATATATACACAGTGTGTGTATCTCAATCTGTAGCTCTACATGCGTTTTATATACAGCTACAGACACACGCACACATACATATATCCACACGTGGTTGGGAACCTGTGCATGTGTGTACATCATCACAAGCACGCATCTGGGAAACGTCAACACTGCAAGATACTGGTCAGATTCTTCTTCACTCATCACTGGCTGCACTTGTTCCCCTCACTTGACCTTGATTACGTAAACAGTCTGATATTTTCTCTGACCCTACAGGGGACTCATCTAGACATCAGCAGCCGACGTGCCTCGGACGGAACCCTTCTTACGCATTGTTTCTAGCTCTTTCTGAGTTTCGTCTTCCATCCTCCTAATGTCTTCCATTGTCAGATCGATCCATTTGTCAATCCAACAAAAAAGTTGGCGATGAAAGTTTGTAAATATCCTTTTTTCTTGCTTCTGAATGAAGTTTTCTACTTTGCTTTGTAGTCCCCACCACTTGAATTTGATGGTCACCAGCTTATAGGCACACATCTGAGGACAGTCAGGGTTGTTTGCCAGTTCCTTCTTCCAGTTGGGTCCCAAAGGGCCTCGCTTGGTCTTGACTGACTGGAATAATGCTGGGTCTTCATCAGCTTTGTAGTCTGCTGGTTCAACTTGACTTCTATCTGCAATATCTATGTGGACAATTTCAACAGTTTTCCACGTATTTGGATCTAAACCATGTACATTTTCTAATGTTCCCAAGTCTGGTTTGTGCCATGTTTCAATTTTAATGAAGAAATCATCTTTCATGTATTCATTCGTGACAATTGTTCTACAGTAGGGATACGCATTCCAGGCCTTCTCGTGAAACACCAAGGATCCCTCAGGAGCAATCATTCTTACAAATGCAGGAACTTTGCTCTTTAGGTGATAAATTTTGTGTGCATACTGTCCCTTTTCTCCGTCCTTTTCGTAAGGCTCATTCTTTAAGACTTCAGTTCCTTCTCCACCACCAGTCTCACTTTTACTAGCTTCTGCAACAGAGTAAAGCTGCCCAACTTGATACTCCTGAACAGAGCATGGCAATACCACTCGGAATTCCTTAATCAGCACCATCTTCCCGGAACCCCTCACAGCTGCCGCCGCTCCCACCACCACCGCCGCTACCGCCCCTCACGGCGGCTGCGCGGCCCCGCCCGCTTTTGTTTT